CTGCTAGCTAGCTAGCTAGCCAGCTAGCCAGCTAGCTAGCTAGCTAGCTAGCTGGCTAGCTAGCTAGCTAGCTGGCTAGCTAGCTAGCTGGCTAGCTAGCTAGCTAGCTGGCTAGCTAGCTAGCTAGCTATTAACTAATTAGCTTACTTGCAACAGTTAGTTTCGCATAAACGTCGTGGCTGCGAGGGGCCCCCAGAGTTCTTCTTTTAATTTTTTTTCTGCTTTCGCTCATTAGACAGAAGTTGAATGCACTCTGAGGTTCATCTTCAGTTGCTGCTGCTGCTGCTGCTGTTGCTGCTGCTGTTGCTGCTGCTGCTGCGTTTTGTTTTTCTTCTTTCGCACTCTCAGCAGCTTGCAATTCGCTTCCGCCTTCTCCAGCTGGGAAAGGTATGACCAGTGGTCCATTCGTGCTGCTGCTGCTGCTGCTGCTGCTGCTGCTGCTTTGTAAAGGAAGAAGAGGTATGTTGAATTTGCTGCTGGTGTTGTCGCTTCTTTCATCTACAAAATCACTTTCTTCATTTTCTTTTAAAGTCCATTTCCCTTTATTGAATTCTTCTTGCGGAGGAAACAGCAGCGGGAAAGCAGCAGCAGCAGCTGCTGCTGCTTCTTCTCCGTCAGCAGCAGAACTCAGCAGCACAAACTGATCTGCTGCTGCTGCTGCTGCTTCTCCCAGCTCCCGCACCTCCCCCACTGCGGTGTACGTACACTCCGCGCCTCCTCCAGCCACTCCCGAAAAGAAGGGGCCCTCTGGGGGGCCCCCCTGGGGGGTGCCCGGGGGCCCCGGAAAGGGGTACTGGGTGGTGTCTTTTGAATCATTTGGAGCCGCTGAGTGGCCGTGGCGTTTCCTGAGAGAAGCGGCTAAGTCCCTCCAAGTGTCTGGGAAAAGAGCATGGAGTTCATCTTCTTCTTTACTGTCGCCCGAGACGATTTGTAAGTTGACGTCCTGGGGACGCCGCATGGCGGGAAAAAGCGGAAACGACACTTTAATTGCAAAACGAAAGAAGTTGAAAAGGAAAAAAGTCCTGAGTCCACGAAGTTACGGGGAGAACCCGGAACGAAGCAGCGGCTTCATCTGCTTTCGCCTGTTTGCACGGGGGCGATCTGGCGAGAATACGGCGGGTCCGTCCCGACTTGGCGCCGCCAAAGAATTCATTTAAAGTTCTTTTTCGAATTTAAACTCCAAAAACTCCGACAAACGAAAGTGGAGAAAGCAATGGAGAGTGGCAGCTGCTGCCAGCCGCGGTGGGAGGGTGCTGCCGATACACCGGAGCGCCGCGGCGGAAGGCTCGCGAGAAAGCGAGAGCTTTCGAAGAGCTTTTGCAAAAAGAAGAAACAGTTTTAGTTTAAGTGAAGAAACAGTTTTATTTGAAATGAAAAAACAGTTTTAGTTGGAGTGAATTCAAAGAATTCAAAGAAAGCTTTAGCAGAGAAGAAGACACTTGGCGTGGGCTGCAGCAGCATGCGCGGCGGACCAGCGGGCTGGCGGGCGCAACAAAGAGCTGCATTGGTGCGCGAAAATGAAATAATAAATGAATTAAAATGAATTAAAATGAATTTAAATAAATTAAATAATTAAATGTTTCAAATAATTCAAGTTCTTTGTTTGAACACCTCGAATTCCTCTTGGCTTCAAACGCGAATTGGTCTGCTGGTGGTCTTCGAGACAGAAGATCTCTTGGTTTCAAAAACGGAAAGCTTTCGCTTTTAATTTCATTTCATTTATTGTTTATTTCGAGTTCAAACTCAGTTAATTTAATCCAATTTAAGTTTTTATTTATTTCAATTTGAAATTAATTCGTTTTTATTTATTTCAATTTGAAATTCATTTCACTCAAATTTCATTTCAATTCAATTTCAAGTTTTGCAATTCGTTCAATTCAAAGCCGCTTCTTCTTTGCAGATTTTTTCTTAAACCAATTAAAAGTCTATTTTTTAAGTTTAAAAGAAGTAAAATAATTAAAATAATTAAAATAAATAAAATAATTAAAAGAATCAAAATAATTGAAATAGTTAAAATTATTAAAATAATTAAAATAATTAAAATAATTAAAATAATTAAAAGCTTAATTCATAAATTAAAAGATAAAAAGATTAATTTTTGTTTTTCGTCGTTTCAGAACTTTTCTTCTTTTTCCGAATCAGCGCAGCGGAGCTGCAATGTTGAATTATTTGAATTAAATAAATACATTTAATCCAAATAAATAAATAAATAAATTAATTAATAAACAAATACATAAATTAATTCATTAATTAAATTCATCCAAATTAATGGAATAATAGTCTTCTCGCTGGCGCATAAAAGCTGCTGCTGCTTCTTCTGGAATATTTATTTTGTTGCTGATGCAGAGAATGAAAGTGAGAAGAAGCTTCTGCAAAATAAGTAAATAAATAAATGAATAAATAAATAAATAAATAAATAAATAAATAATAAATTAACTAATTAAATTGAATAAATTAAACCAAATTAAGTTAATTTAATTAATTAAATTGTTTTAATTAAAAATAAAATAAAAAACTGCACTTTACCTTGTCTTCTTCTGTCTCAGGCTCAGAAGAAGAAAGCAAAGACAGCAGCTTCTCCTTTTCTGCATAAGTCAGACGCCCTGGCTGCAAATTAGGGTTTAGGGTTTAGGGTTTAGGGTTTAGGGTGTGTGTACTTGCCTGAATCAAATCTTTCTCCTTCGCCAACGCCGCCAAACTGGACTCCGTGACTGAATTCAAAAGCAGTCACTCCAGGGTTTAGGGTTTAGGGTTTAGGGTTTAGGGTTTAGGGTTTTACGGGTTTTGCATCTTTGAAGGGCTGCAACAGCAGCAGCATCTTTAGAAAGGACTTCATTTAAAAACTCTTTTCCTTCTTTCATCTTTTCGGAGGTGAAGAGTTGCTGCTTCAACTTGTGCAAGTCTTGTCTCAGTCTGCAAACAGAAATTAAATGAAATTAAAACGATTTAATTAAATAAATTTGATTAATTTAATTAATTTAATTTAATTAAATTAATTAAATTAAATCAAATGTATTAAATTAATGAAATGAAATGAAAATGAAGTGAAGTGAAATGAAATGAAACAAAATAAAGTAAAATAAAACAGATGAAGAAAATTAAATTGAATTATATTAATTAAACTAAATTAATTTAATTCAATTAATCAAAATAAATTAAATTAATTAAATTAATTAATTTTATTTTATTTTTAAAAATCTGACAAACCCCAAAATGTGGTGAAGGGCGGCGCAGGCCGTGCCCGTCCGGATCCAAATGTTTGCATAATTCAGTTCCTGAAAATAAAATAAAATAAATAAAATAAATAATAAAATAATAAGATAAATAAATAAATTAAATTAAACAAATTCAACTAAAATTAAATTAAACAAATTAAATTAAACGAATTCTCACTTGTTTCTTTTTTGTTTGTTCTTCCACTTTCGTTTTGAGTTTATTTATTCTTTCATTTTGCATTTTACTTTGCGAAGAAACTTCTTCTTGAGCAGCAGCAAATTTCTGAATTGCTGCTTCGAGCTGCTGCTGCTGCTGCAGCAGCTGCTGCCGCTTCCCCTCCAGCTGCTGCCGCTGCTGCTGCAGCTCGTGCACCTGAGCAGCAGATTTCATTTGCCCTTTCAACAAGCTGCCCCTAGGGTTTAGGGTTTAGGGTTTAGGGTTTAGGGTTTAGGGTTACGGGGGATTGTGAATTGAGTAACTTAGGGTTTAGGGTTTAGGGTTTAGGGTGATAGTGAATTGAATAAGTTTGGGGTTTGAGGATTTTATTTCTTTCGTTCGTTTTAATTCAAAACATTCAACACTTTTATTTTTGTTGTTTCAGACTTTTCCTTTTTTATATTTTTGTTTTTTGTTTTCTTTCAGTTTGCACTATTCAATTCTGCATTTGTTGCAGTTGATTAAATAAATATTTATTTGTTGAATTAAATCAAATGAAATTGAATCATTTAATTCTTTTAAATTCGTTTTTTCGTTGAACTAACACAAGGAATTCACAATTCAACTTTTGCACTTCAACTTATTTTGAATTTTCTTTTTTCAAAAAGACTTTAAGACTCACTTGCTGCTTCGTTTGCGAGCAAATGCGGCACAAAAGGCGAATTCGCTCTGCAATCGATTCGTGCTGCTGCTGCTGCTGCTGCTGCTGCTGCTCTTGTTCAGAAACAACAACTGCTGCCGCGGCGTCTTCTGAATTGGTAAGCATTTTGGGAATAAGGGAACAAAAAGGAAAATATTCTCCGAATTGAACTCAAAAGCAAAAAGAAAATTCGAATTTTTCGCGAATGAATCCGTTCTTGCAAAGTGCGCGAGTGCGCATCCTGAGGTGTACGTACACCTCAAGGCCGATCTTGAATAGGCTTTCCATTTCTGCATTTTGCGCTTCTGCATACTTTTTTCAACAAATCCAGAAATATATATAAATATGAAATATAAGAAAATATAATCTTGTTAATTTTAATTATATTGCAAATATTCGTCATAAGTGTCTTTGGCGCAAGTGCAGAAACTAGACGGACAGAAAGCTGGAAATAAATTTCACATTTACTTCATTTGTGCATTTTAATTTGTTTAAATGCATAAATCAACAAATGGAAATAAATTTAAATGTTTATAATTGCAATATTTATTTTGTTTTGTTTTATAAAGTTGAAGTGCACTCAATGCACTTTCAGGTGAACTCTTCGAGGGTTTAGGGTTTAGGGTTTTCTCGTGCGTTTAGGGTTTAGACCAACTTCAGCTGCACCCGTGGAGAAGCAAATGCAATTAGGGTTTAGGGTTTAGGGTTTAGTTTAGAGGGTTTAGTTTTGACTTTTTCCACATTTGCATTTCTCATTTAAATTTATTTTTTTTCGTTTTCCACTTTTTGTTGGGGCGCTGGGTGTCTGTACACCTCGTTCAGGCCATCAAAACAACAGCAAAATGAAAATAAATAAAAATGAAATAAAACAAAAATTATAATAAATGAAATGATAAATAAATAATAAATGAACAAACAAATCATCTGCAGTTTTCTTCTAGAGAAAACTCCTAGGCGGGGGCAAGGCCAGCTAGCCACAGCTAGCAAGCTAGCTAGTCAGCTAGCTAGCCGCAGCCAGCTAGCTAGCTAAATGCCTAGTTAATGGCTAGCTGGCTAGCTAGCTAGCTAGCTGGCTGGCTAGCTAAGTAGCTGGCTAGCTGGGCAGCTAGTCGTGGATATTATTTGCAACAAAAAAACAGTTGATATAAAGACAACAGGCCGGGGGAAATCCGTTCGTTGGCTAGCTAGCTAGCCAGCTAGCTACTAGCCAGCTAGCTGCTAGCCAGCTAGCTAGCTGGCCAGCTAGCTAGCTCCATGTAGAGGCAAACAGACAATGTTACTGAGAGTTCACTGCGCAGACGTGGATATGCGTAGCTAGCTAGCTGTACGGCTAGCTAGCTACTTCGCTAGCTAGCTAGCCAGCTAGTTAGCTAGCCAGCTAGCTAACTGAACAGGCCAACAGCTGGCTAGCCTGCTACGTCGCTGCAGCAGTCTAGCTAGCTGGCTAGCTACACAGCTGTACACGTAGCTAGCTAGCTAGCTAGTTAGCTAGCTAGCTAGTTAGCTAGCTAGCTACGCAGCCAGCTAGCTAGCTAGCTAGCTAGCCAGGTCCGCTGCTGGA